CTATGTAGCCCAGGATGGCCTGGCCTTCACAGTGCGGCCCAGGCAGGCTGTCCTCAAACTTTCAATCCTCTTGTGCAAGCCTCAAGTGCTGGAATCACAGGCAAGAGACACCGTATTCAGACTAATTTTAGCCTAAGTGTTTAAGTCAGCCACACCGATCTCTTCTGAACTTCTTTCCCCTGACCTGAGGTCCCTTTCCTCACACAGCGGCTGCCTCCCTGGGAAAGTTCCCATGGCAAGCCATGTCTCCTCCTAAGACCCCTCGTCCTGCCCTCAGGCTTGCACTGAGCTATCTGGGCTTCAGCCAATGCCAGTGCAGCTCAGCTCTCAATACAATGGTTGAGCCAGGACCTCACTGGTGATTGCCGGGCCTGCTGCTTGGTCCTCTGCTGCTTCCTTTTGCACAGTACGCCCCTCCCCCCTGCCTCCTCCACTTCCGCTTCTGAAAGCAGCTGCTTCCCTGAAGACAGTCTGGGTCTGCAGCTGTTACAATGTTATCTGCGTTTATTATACCTCCAAAGGCACTGGGCTCCTGGGTGACCCTGGATGATGTGTCTAGGGCATCATGCAGGCCAGCCCAACGAGCTGTCTCCTGTCTGCAGTTTGCACGGCTCTCACCTGCCATCCCTTATTTGACTTTTCATACAGGGTTTTGCTGTATAGCCCTAAGTAGCTGGTTTTTTGTTTTGAGACAAACGTAGTTCAAGCTGGTCTCATTATCCAAAGATCTGCCTGCCTCTGCCTCCTAAGTGCCGAGATTAAAGGTGTGACCCACCTTTGTGTTTGTGGATAGTGTGCAGAGGTCAGAGAACCACTTGAGGGAGTCGGTTCTCTCCCTCCACTCTGTGGGCTCCTGGGATGAACGTGGGTCCTCAGACTTGCTCAGCACCTGCTTTCCCCGCTCCGCCCATCCCCCCAGGCAGAGCTGGAGCTCTATTAATGGCCCCCTGGTTGCTGGCTTTTTAAGAATTCCAACACTTCCTGACTGTTTGCCAGACACTGTAGTAAATGCCGCAGGGACGTTTAATCACTACTGTGCGTTGTGTGTGTGCGCACATGCACACGCACCACAGTGTGTGTGGAAGTCAGACAAGCTTTTGGAGTCTGTTCTGTACTCTCCTTCTGCTGAGGGAGCTGCGAACAGACAGAACTCAGGTCAGGCTGTGCAGCCAAGCACTTCCACCCACCGTGGCCCAACACCGTGTTTCCTCTTCCCACCCCCAATAGTGTCATGTAACCCAGGCTAGCCCAAAACTTCCATATGAAGCTAAGAATAACCTTGAACTCCTGACCCTCTTACCTCCATTTCCCCTGTGCTAGAATGAACTGTGTGACGCTGCCTTAATTTTCTCTCCAGAGCACTCTTAGTTATTCTCATGAATGAGATGAAAATTCCAGAGATGACCCTGTTACCATCTTCCACAGCCACTGAGGGACCTGGGCCTGGGCTTGCTGGGGACCTCCAAAGCTGTCACCACCTGACTCACACACGGTCTGTTCTGTTTTCTCAGAGACGGAAGAGACCAAGGCCCTTCTGAAAAGGAGCTTAGTGTTCTAACTAAACCAGCTACAACCCACACATCACTTCCGGGTTAACTCTATTGGGACCCTGTGAGGAGCCGTGCCCTCGTCTCACAGGTGAGTACCTGGTGGCTGTGACTTGGGACACGTCTACCACAAGGAAGGTACTGTCTTAAGTTTTATGAGAAGCCTCTGCGGTCGGAAGCGTCCTCAGCAGTAGACACAGGGTCTGCTGGCCCAGCAACCCTACTGTGGTGTTCTGAGAGTTTGCTGACGTATATTCTGGGCAGCCCTGTTCAAAATAACCAAAAGCAGAGGAGATCATACAAGGACTAGGCTCTCCAGTTGGTGTGGTGGGCAGAGCGCAGGGAAGGCACAGTGCTGCCACCTCAAGTCCAAGGTGATGGGGACAGACTGAGCTCTATACTTACTGCATCTGCTATTTTCGTTTGTTTTCCCCAAAATTCTACCTTTTCCTCATTTTCTTGAAGGCTGGGCTTTATTGCTTATGAAACTAAATACACCAGAATCTTGTTCCCACATCAAAGTAACAGACACCAAAAAACAAAAACAAAAAAAAAAAAAAAAAAAAAAAGAAAGAAAGAAAGAAAGAAAAAAAAAAGTAAAGTTGTGAGTTTATTGCATATGTAACAAAATGAACCTGACCTCCCGGGTCCAGCCTGCTCTACAGTCAATCTTTTGTGTTTCTAGCTGGTTCCACAACGGCATTAAATAGAACTAGAATTTCTTTAAATACTTTCAATTCTGACATAAAACAGAACATTAGTGTACAACGGTCACAAGGAAATGGGCAATAAAAACTGGGAGAGCAACTAGGGTAGCAGCAGCACTCCAAACAGGCCCTTACAAAATAAGTTAGAGTACATTATAAACACATTTCAGAAATCCACACCTCAGAAGGCTGCCGCGCGGCCCTCGCCTGCTGCAGTAGGGCAGGCACATTCTCTGCGGGCCAGCCCAGGGTCCACCTAACCTGAACCTGGCCATGTGGCCAAGCCAGTGGAGGGGTCAATATCCCATCTTGTGGCAGATCCTAACAGGAAGCAGGAGGCTGCGACCTGCTGCCAGCCCACTGCCGCAGCCCGGCACTTCCTCTCTGGAGCGCTGCTGAGCAGAGTGGTGTTTGCTGCATCCCTGAGTGTGGCTGCTGGCCGCTGGTGAGGGGAGCCTGGAGGGCCGGGCTCCTGAAGCATCTGGGTGACCACCTGGGGCCACCAGGAGGGATGGCAATCGAGATCTTACAGGAAAGGGCTTCACCCAGACCAAAACAGGGCAACCAGGAGCTTTGCCGTGGGCTGGCCACGCAGTGTCCTTTGAGGAGCTTCAGAAGGGCCCAACCATGGTAGACAGACAAGGAAGTGCAGCAGTACCAACAGAGGACAGTGCTGCGCAGAATAGACGCACCTGGGGAGGCCGGGACACGGGGACCTGGCAATGGGGGGACCCATAGGCAATGTGAGCAGAAAGACTGTGGGTGGTATGTGTGCCTACCAGTCAGCCCCTGGGGGCCCATCCTCTGGCTCTTCCTCAGAGGACACCTGACAAGGGACTCCTAAGGCTCGTCCCCTATCACTCCCGCAGCAGGAACATGGACTTCCGCACTCCTGCAGCGCATCTCCACAGCACAGGACCCTGGTTTCCTCCATCGCTGCAGACTGGGACAGTGCGATAGCAACAGGTAAGTTTCCAGTCTCCACAGACAGTGTCACTCTGAGGGTGTGGCTGCTTTCCATGGACTGGCTAGGACTTAGGGCACAGGTTTCCTCACACCATTTGAACACTCTTGAGTCATGAGGGAGCCGGGGTTTAGAACACCGTCAGAAGCATTAAGGTAGATGAAATACAGAAGCCCTACTGGGGCAAGGCAGAAAACTGAGAGACTAGTAAGGCCCCAGTCTGGCCTGGGAGGTGGGGTGGATTCAGTCCTTGTGCAGTGAGGCTCAGCAGCCTTTCTGCCTCCAAACCTTGCAAACCAGACTGTGGCTAACTCACACTGTATAGTGCTGGTGGCCACCAGGCTGGACAAACCTCTTGGGATAGGGTGTGTATGGGACCTGTGACTCCAGCACCCCACCCCCAAGTCAATCCAGAACTGCTTCCAGGCCACACTGGACAGAAGCAGCAGGAACAGAGGGGAAGCTACTTCCCCACCCCAAGGGTAAGCAATGAAAAGAACACAAAAGTCAGTGGCCCAAAAGGACCTTCCTGATCACTTCCCACACAACTTGAACTCATGGCTGAACCTGAACCCCGGTACCAATGAAATGTCTTGCTAATGAATTACCCTGTTCTCGGCCCCACCACAGACAAAAACAACAAAACCACACATGGAAAACCGGCTGCTGCTCTGCCTTCCACCAGAGTTCAGCTGCCTGAATAGTCGCTCTGTTGAGAGAGTCAACGCTTCTGAACACTTGTGCAAATTGGAAGTGGTGTTAGAGACACAGCATTAGGCTGGCTTTGGCCTTGCTCATCAGAAGACAAAGAATGAGCAAGCAAGTTGAGTAGAACTGTTAGCATCACCCTTGCCACTGGGGAAGAGGGCCATGGAGGCAGGTAAAGCCCCCCCCCCCCCCCCGTTGCCACAGGCTCCGTCACACCCTGCTCTGTGCATAGCACCAACCCTGGGAGCTGCGTCAGGGGACCCCAGGTCAGCGGCCTCTCCTGCTGTCCCATCCAGTGGCGGTGGCGACAAAACTGTTCTGTTAGTTTAAAGTCCATTAACACTTCAAGACAGCCAGGAGCCTCCGGATCCCCAGGCACAGGAACAGAGCTGGACCCAGGGGTCTGAGGCTAGTTTTGGTCATTCTTTGCTTAGCTCCATGATATGAGAATTTCAAACTGGGTAGAGAACACAGCAAACTGGACTTTTAAAGATTTTTCCCCCCTGTGCAAAAAAAAAAAAAAAAAAAAAAAAAAAAAAAAAAAAAAAAA